GATGGCTTCTCAAGGGTCAGGGTTGAGAAAAACCAAGGTTACAAGGTCAACTGTCCCAGTGTGCAAAGAAAGTGACCCCACTGGGAACAGAGCCAAGTCCCCCAGAGTATCAGAGACAGGAGATCAGAGGCCTTCCTGGCACAAACAGGTTTTAGTTCATTTGTCTAAGCTTTATATAAAAGCTTAACAATTGAAGTTCTGCATACGTTCCTGGATCTCTGACTTCTCTTGAAAAATCTTCTGTCCAGAGGGATCCAGATTTTTGCATGGTTTCTGTCTGATCTGGAGAGCTAAGGAATTGTGGCCAACAGGCATGAGAATCCAGGTGTCCACAGCCACATGGGAGCACAATCTCTCTTCCTATACAGCCGGGGGCTGAAGGGACCTTAGAATTTATTAGTCTACCTCTGTCTCAAACTTTGTCTTAGTGTGTGTGCATGTCCATGTGTGTGCCTTATTTTTAAATGTTTCTTTTACTGCTATGCATGTATGTGGTTATATGCATGTGAGCACAGGTAACCCAGGAAGCCAGAAGGAGGAGCCAGGTCCCTTGGAGCTGGAGTCACAGACAGTTGTAAGCTGTTGCTGTAGGTGTCGATTCACACTGGGCCTTACACGCCCGTCACTGCTCAGCGATCTCTCCAGACTCTGTTTTTAATCTCCTATGTAGTCAGTCATGCCCTGGAACCTGCTGGATGGTTCCAAGACCCTCTGGAGAACTCCAAACCCACAGGTGCTTCAGACCTTTATAAAGTCAACAGTTCTTACATATAAGATCCACCCATCACTTTAAATCATCTCTAGATGTAACAACGCAAGCTCTCGGTAAAGAGTCACTAAGATATATATATAGTTCAAGGGGAAATGTAAAAATAAACTGGCACATGCTCAATGCCTACAAAAATGCCCGATCCCATTTTTCACCTGTGGATGTCTTGAGGACAGATACCTAGCGCCAAATATAGTCTTATTTATGTAACAGAGAAAAGGCACATATGGGCGTCATACCACACAAGTAATACACATGTGCATTCACATGTTTATACATTGGAGAAAGGTGGTTTTGTAACTTGGACAGGATGTTCATTTCCAATCCAGGAGAGCAGAGACACATCAGAGGGCAAGGGCTGGGCCCACTGGGCATGTAGATCTAGACTAGTTTGCATGCATCGATACAGTTCCTCTGTGATCAACAGCCAACATATTTTTACATGTAAGTCGGTCTTGACCATTTGCCTGCTGAAAAGTCCCTTCCGGCTTCCTTCCCGAGCCCCAGACCTCCCTCACTCTTGCCCTATCTTCCTAGTTAATTCTGCACAGTTCTCTCTGCTCACCAGCTCCATGACACTTGCTTCCTCTGGATCCCAGGACACTGGGCACCCGCCTGAGGGGTTCTTCCCTTGCAAGTCCTTCCTGTACAATCCTCTAGACCCTCCAGTCCATCGTCTTTGTCCTTCTCTGACCACACCACTGAAGGTGGCCCTCCCAGGCACCAGAATGTCACCCTGGAGCAGTTTCTTCACCTGACACACTCTAAACTGTTTCGTTCCCTTGCTTCCTTGGCTACCCCCCCCCCACACACACACACACTGTGAGATACATTGAAATGCCATGCTCAGTCCCAGTCATCAAGGCCTGGAAAGCACCCGACTCCTCGTCACAAGAGCAGGATAAACACACAACAAAGGTGACATCCCACCCCCAGCAAAGCTCAGCTCCAGGCAGAAGCTGGAAGGGGTGGGGGAAACTTTGCCTCCTTGGCCTCAGGTCATGCAGGGACTTGAACACGGAGAGAATTAACTCCGTGGCTAAATCCAGATGCTTGAGCCCACGTATATTCACAAGTGCCCCACTGAGCAATAGGGTTCTGATTCTGAAGCCGCTTGCTGAGTTTCTGTTCGATTTTGGAATCAAGGTAGCATCTATGGATGAGTGAATATTCAAAAGAAGCTTCAGCGGCTTCAAATGAAGCATGCACGCATGTGTGGGAGTGTGTTTGCAAGTGCACAGAGGCTCGTTTGTCGCTGTTAAATGACTGGAACGAAGGGCTCTAAAACTTGAGAATAGAGACATGCGGGTCCACACATGGTGTCTCAGTACACACTTGAAGAGCCACTCTGTGGTACTTGGGAACTAGTGAGAGCCGCCACTGGCTCGTGAGCTCGTGAGCAACAGGAAGTATGGTTCTTTGGCCCTGGTTCTTTATTTGGAAAAGATGGTCTTTGACAGTCTTTAGACCCCATGGCCTAAGCACCACAGGACGCGGCGGCATTTCTAGATGAAAGCACCAAAGCAAGCAATAAAATGTCACTGGATCAAGAGAGAAACAGACTCCCACCAACACGCACCTCACACGCAGCCCTGAAAGGCCCAGCAGTAGCTGCCGGGCTTTCACCTACAGTAACAAGATTGATCTGTAGTGAAATAAAAGATAATGCAATCCAGAGGAAATAACTTGTGTTTCCTCTGAGAATGTCTGATGTTGTCAACCGTACGCCTGCTTCCCGTTTCTGCCTGCCACCGTGCTCAGCGGCACACACAGGCAGGAATACAGCAGGCAGACAGGTAAATCACAGCTGCACAGTCAACCAACCCAGCCCCTTGGCCAGCCCAGCCCTTTGGCCAAGCCCAAGCCACAGAAGCGTTCAGGAAGGCAGAGGCATGGTCAGTGGCCACCGAGAAATGGGTTTCAGAGAACGGCCCCACTGGCATCCACGGCATTGCAAACACTAGATTTCTGCTGCTTCTTTCTGCCACAGCTGAAGTCTCTTGGTTCTCAGGAAGTAAGAATCGCAGTTCCAGAGTCTGTATACAGGGTGTAGAATGGTCTGGCCTGGTCTTCTGTATCTGTCAGCACTGTCTGGAGCATTATCTCCCAGGCACAGTGACAGAGTAACAGGAAACACTTGGAGAACAGTGGGCACTGGCCTTGTAAGCTCTCAGCCGTCATTTCTCAGGTGTCTCAGTACAAAATGGTCCTCCAGGAGCAGAGCAATATTAAAAACCATTAAGTAGAAAATATGTACATTGAGCCTGGTCTATACATTTGTAAGTGTACTGTTTTTGAGAATTTTATATATCCATGTAATGTTTTCATCAACTCAAAACCCCCATTACTTCCCCCACTACCACTGTTCCCTCCCCACCTCTCTCCCACCTCATCACTAAGTGTATGTAGTACACCGGAATTGGACCAGCAGAGAATACACGGGACAACGACATCACACCAAAGCCCAGAATCAACACAGAGAAGACTTAAAGATCCAGAGAGAGCATTCACCGGCAGCGAAACATTGTGTGCAGGACAGTGCAGCTGTCCAGGTGAACTCAAAGCAGCTGTGGCTGCACACGCAAGATCTGCAGAAGATCAAGACAGCCAAAACCCCAGCAGGGATGGAGAAGGGCTCAGGAAGTCCCACCCTCAGTTGAGAAGCCCCAAGCATATCAGCTTTCTTCAGGGACGCAGACCCTAGGAATACCTCACGAGGGAGATGCCACCTCCGCCACACGAGGCTTAGGCAGCCATCGGCTGTGGGCTTCTTCCTCTTTCAGATGCTATTAGGTCTCAATAGCCAGTGATTTGTAGATGATTACAACTTTTACTGTGCGTATCATTGCAACTGACAGGCAAATCTCATCAATCGAATCCCATGACTGATGAAAAAAGGACACAAACTTGACATCAGCAGCCTGCCAGCTGTCCTCTGGATCAATTATTGCGCTTAGAAAGGCTCGCCGTGACACACGGAAAGCAGACCTGATGGAAGGCTCTCCTCCTCCCCTTGACCAACATCTCTGAAACACACGCTTGCAACTCCAGAGTTTTTTGTTTCCAGGAGAGAAATCCTGTTTGAAGTGGGGTAGTGTTCACACTGCAGCTCATACGCAGGGGCTGCTCTACTCCCTGAGCGTCGCGCCGAACCCCCGATCTGTCAAGGATGAGAGCTCGCTGCAGCCATGGTCTCCGATAGCGGCACTCTCATTACACCAACAGTCACGACACCTTTTCAATTCTGCTCATCTCTTAGTCGCTAGTCAAATGGAACTTATTGCTTAGAGCTTGTTGGAACTTTCTGAATTATTTATGAAAGCAGGTCTGCGACTCCAGACTCTTAAAAGACAACACAACAGAACCCTCGTCGTTACCCACAACCTGTCTTCTAACAGGGAACGGATATTCTCTGTAACATGAGCTGCATGTTTGGGGTGAAATAACAGTTGTGAAAAAAGTACCGAGCCTCTAAGAATATTTGGAGGGTATTTATGGAATGCCTGGGCATATTTTTAAACCTTTACTGTAAACCAGCTTCGGGTTCCAGAAAGATGCAGCAGACATATTTCTCAGCTTGGATACAAACAACGAACGTCTGGCACTATTGCCCAAACTGGAAGGCAGTTCCCCATCATGATCATCTAGAAGGTTCTAGTCAGGTCATGAACCCAGAGCACAACCGCCATACACAGTGAGGACTAATACCCAGTCAGAAACATCAGTGAGAAAACATGTTGGTTTCCAGCTCACCGGACCTGTAAAACAGGACAGCACTCTCTGTTACCTGACTTTGTGTCAGTTGGAGAGGCTACGAGGCACAGCTAGGTTGGAGGGCACAAACTGGCAAGCCAGCCTGCTCTTAAGAGCCACACCTCCTGGTCTACATGTTTGTTCATCCATTGGAACTGCTTGGGGAGCCCTTTGAAAGCAGAAGCTGCCTCTGATGCAGGATTCTTGAAGGACAACCCCTCCCCTAGAGATACCTGCTCCTCCAAGAGACACCCAAACCCCATGCCAACCCTGCCCTCCTCCCCAGATGTCTAAACCCCAGCCCTAGCCCCAAACATGGTTCAGAGGAAGATGCAGACACCCAGAAAGGCTGAAGGTACTTCATGCCACCATCCTTATAAGGTCCCTTAATTTCCAAAGACACATTCTCAAGAAGACAGAGTCCTGTCAACAAAAGCACATAGCCAACAGAAGGGCAACAGGGTGCAGGGCATCTTACCTTGCTGGAAGACATCTGAGGGCGTGAGAAAAAAAATGAGAGAGGGAAGGAAAGAGAGAAAGATAAAAATATTAATAACAGTGAAGAAGAAAGCAAGACATTATCTTGCATACATTGGCTTTGCTAAATAGTTTCCATACAGCACTCCCTTGAGCGCCAAGCTCAGGCCATAGGTGGAGACCACTTTGGTCTAAATCATGACTCGATTCATATGAACTCTGGTTTACTGTCCCTTAAACCTCAACACTGACAGTATGATTGGGAACATTGATCATGCCTGTGCTAAGGCTGAAGGACGCAGGACAGTGCTTGTCGAGTAAGAAGCAGGACATCCTGTTGACATCCCCGGTGTCACCATTTCAACAGCCTTACAAAACAGGCTCTGTAATCATTCCTGCTCTATAGCTTAGGAAACCGAGTCTCCAGAAGGCAAGGTAGCTCACTCAAGGCCACAACATTGGTACTTTGGATGGAACCCAAGCCCACATGACACTGAAGATTCTCTCAAGCTCTAAAAGGCTATCTGATTAAAGACAACAACACCTGACAAAAACATAAGCAGATATGGGTCTGGGAATTCAATCATACTTAAATCATGTAAACAAAATATGTATACGTTCTCCACTTTATAACCCCATGTCCTCAGAGTCTGTTAGAAAATGACGAGGTATTCATGCTTTTGTGCGTTTTCTTTCAACCACTGTCCGAGAGCCTGGTATGCACCAAGGCCTGGTTCTTAGCAGCCACAGTAAAGAACACCAACACGCTGTCCCCAGTATCCTCCCAGCAGGACCTCCAGGGACAAGTGTATTTTGACCTTTGAATCGAGTACACATAATGGCAAAGCACCATTTTTTTCTAAGTGTAGCCTCTTTGCTCAACAGTGTATTTTTTAATCTGATATTGGTGAGTTTTTAACTTCCTTGAGGAGTGAGAAATTAGGACTCAAGATAGGTGTTCCTCCACATCTTGTAGTAGCCATAGGTACCCGCGCAAAGTACTTTTCTATGTCCAAGGGAGCTTGGCCGCCCAATCACCAATGATGTTTCTCACCTTCTCATGCCTTTTAATTTGGTATCTTCAAGATACACGTATGTCACCCAGGCAGGAGATAGCACCTGCTCTGTCTGCAGGGCTCCAGAAAGAAAGTTTGAAAGAAAGATACTTCTAGAAGATAGTTTAACAACATATAGAAACATCCAATCTGTAGTCCTTGAGCAAACAGTACTACTTACAGAACTCTAATCCAACAAAACACCTAATGATGTAAGAGAAACGTAGAGAGAAGATCACCGAAGTATTGTTGGCAATGGGAAAAATACTGGGTGCTGCCCACAGTCAACAGAGAACCAAAGCAATGATCTGTACTTGGCTTGCTGTGCGGTGACGTCAATGACTGAAGAGGATTGGTGAGATGGTTTAAGCAAAGCTCTGGTCACGCAAGACTGACAACCCAAGCTTCTGCCCCAGAAACTGTGTAAAACCTAAAGGGAAGAAAGGACTCCTCAAATTTGTTGTTTGGCCTCCACAGAGATGTCATGACGTGTCATGCCCACCTCCCGACATAAACACAGAGTTTTGGTGTTTTCTTTATTTTTAATTGGTAAAGATTTTAGTTGAGTTCATATGAAAATATTGGATGCTCCCTAACGACCCATGAATACATGTATGTGCCTATGCGCATATGCATGGCTGCCTGAAGAGACGTGTGACAATGGCCACAAAATACTGCTGATCTTTGGAGTTGCAATTGGAGTTTTTAAATCTTCTATGAGTTTTTATACATTTGGGGAGGTGGTTCGAGACAGGGTTTCCCAGTAGCTATGGAGCCTGTCCTGGAACTCACTCTGTAGATCACAGAGATCCGCCTGCCTCTGCCTCTTAAGTGCTGGGATTAAAGGTGTGGGCCACCACCGTTCAGCTCAGTATTTGAATCTTTAGCAATGAGCGTATTGTATATTTGTGATCTCAGTTTACAACTAAACTTATCTTCATTAAAAGCTAAGTAAGAACTACATTGTCAGCATCAACTTTACGTTAGCGCCACCTGACACCAGCTCCCATGGGGTCACAAGAACCAAGAGCCGTGAATAGTTCAGACACTTCCCTGGCACATTAACGGATCAGAACACCTTAGGCTGCAGATTTCATTCCACTCAGGCACATCCTCCAATTTTATGAATTAAACCTTTTCTCTGACAATTTCATGCACATATCTATCACAATCTAATACGCTCACTCCCGCCCTCTCTTCTCTCTCCCACCCGCAATCCTGCCTCTTCCCTCCGCGTCCCCTTTGAGAGCAGACATGCTCATCGGGACACATGCTCTCAAAGTCGCTCTGGCTTGTCTGAGAAACTCTTACAAGCTCCCAATTCCCCAGTGGCAGGAGACTTCTCCCGACCCAGAGCAAAGTCACGTGGGATGTGGACGGGCTGTATCAGAGGCACTGCACTGACTCTGCTCTCAGCCCCGTTCTCAGTGAGCTCTGCATCTCCGGAGCCACCAACCACAGATTGAAGATATGGTTTAAAAAAAAAACAACCAAAAAGCCTGTGTTAAACATGGACAAACATGCTTTCTAATGACTATGTTCTAAGTAACAAGAAATACATTATCAAGGTTGTTTCTACGGCCCTTACTGCATTAGATTTTAGAAGCCATCCAAAGGTGATGTGAAGCATACAGAAAGGTTTTTATAGCTGACGAGCACACACTGTGCCATCCTCAAGGGACTTTCTAGCAGTACCGGTAATTTCTAGCAGGCACACACATCTCCTGCACACATCACACAATATCCTCTAGCCTTGGCAATTCATCTTCAGCACAAATGCTGGCCCAGCAGTGAGATGCCATTGCCCAGGGACTGAGGAAAGGGCTGTGGGCAGCTCCTGGAATACACCAGTCTATACAAGCTTGCTTCCTGGACCCCACAGCCGGACACCTACTCTCTGACCAAGCTTGCTCTCCTGATGGAAGCCTCCCACTTATCCTTCAAATGTCACAGCCACTGTGAAGCGAACTTGCCGTTTCCACCTGTTCCTAGAGTAACCCATGCATGTTGCAATTATAGCTCAGGTTATAATTAGTTATTTACGTAGACTGTGCGCTCCTGAGGATAAGAGCAATGTACCTTAAACGCCTCCCTAGATTTAGACTGCCTGGCACTGTTACCACTGAGAGGGAAGGGAAAGGGGGTTTTGTCTCAACATCCCCTTACCATACAGGTGAGGAAATGAAGTACTGGATAAAAGAAAAATCCTTCCTAAGGTCACACATGGAGTTCAAGGCTGAGCCAGGACTACAGGAGACTCATTTAAACCTTAATGAAGTTAAAATGTTCATCTCGATTATTAGCAAAGTACAAATTAGACATTTATCATCCCCCTTTAATGAATACAGACAAAAACCTCAACCTTGAAAACATCAGGGAAATGAGATTAATCTCTCAAATACAGACCCAGTCTCAACCCCAGTCTCGACATCCGTCCAGAATCCTCAACCTCCTCTTTGTGATTTTTGACAAGGAACACTTCTTTCAAAACTCAGAACCGACTTGAGTCATTGGAAAGCATCAGCCGTTTTGCGGAGAAGGGAACCCAGGCCTGATTCATGGTCTTATTCCCCCCAATCCTACTGTGTGTGTTCCATCTGTGCAGGCACATGGGCACAAGATGCTCCTTAGCTCTTCCATTCCTGAAGCACACCTAATGTTCATGTACCTATCTGAGCCTCTGTTTCTTCAAAAACTTTCCAGTGATATTTTCATCTCCGCTTCCCAGTCACACGTAAATCTGAATAAACACGAATGCGGATACTACAATGTGCTGGACTATATTTATGTCTTCCGGGTCTGGGGCATAAATCTCCTCCTTCTCTGTAGTAAAGGCTCACACACCTTCTCTCCCAGACGGAAAAGGCCACCCAAGCTCACTTCCCATGTGTTCTAGTTACATGTTACACTCCACCGCACACGCACGTTCCCCCAAATCAATGGATGTTACAACGTATTATACTCCAAAAGTTCACAGTACCATTTCCCACTCTAATGCTTGTGTGCAGGGCCACTTCTCCAAAACCATCCACTATGGTGACTCCTAAAGATCAAAGTGCCGGAACGTGAGTACGGTGTTCTGATTTCAGTCTAACCAGACGCAGAGGAGAATCACTCAGGAGATGACCTGCCCCCTCTGACCTCCCATTTCCTTGCTGCAGACGCAGGGGCATATTCTAACACCATTCCACAGAAGGGGGAAGGTGACGTTCACTAAGTTATTCAAGCCACGGAAAGCCGCTCTGAGGCTAAGACGCTGCCGTATTTCTCACCCTCCCAGGATTCAGAATCACACAAGTGCAGAGCAGGGGCTGACAATGACCACAACCTCAGCCACCATTAGGTTGAGTCCAAAGGACACCAGGACACCGATGCGGAGGAAAGCAACTCCTTCAGACAAAGCTCTCTGCTCAGACTCACTTCCCCAGGGAGTAAATCTCAACCCCCATCACTCACGTGAACAAAGAAGGCCTGTTTCCCAGCCCCCTTACCCCCCCCCCCCGCCCCAAGTCCTCCATCCCCTGGAGTCCTTCTGGTCCTGGAGACAGATGAAAGACCATGTGTGAGCTGACCATTCAGATGTGGGGGAAAAAATAAGGAAGAGCCCCAGATTTGCCTTTTTTTTTTTAACGTGATGGAAGACCAAGCATGTGTACCCCTCCCCCACTATGGCGGGATTCAAACTCCAGAGCTCTGTAATGCTGAGACCCCAGAGACCTGGGCCATAAAAGACTAGATTATCTATTATTATTAATAAGTTATGGCAATTAGGCTGGATGATTCCTAAACGCGGCTGATGAGAAATTTTCTTGAGTACTGCTCGTCCACACAGCTAGTGTTTACCTCTATTAAAAATGATTTAACTACACTCTGGGTGAACCCCTGTCTTGCCCCTGGATTAATAATTAGCAGTGCACAGATCTGCGCGGGTTAAGTGAGTCGGCTGTCCTTTATTTATCTA